ACAAAAGTAATAATAAAATAATAAATAACATCTATAATAATATTAATAACATTATTAATATTTTGAATAATAAAAAATAAATACAACAAAAACACAGATGGACCTCTATCAAAAAAGAGAACTGGCCTTTCAAAAATGACGACCTGATCTGGACCTTTAATATTAACAACGTCTCTAGCCCCAACTAAGAAAACACACCCCTCTTATTCATTTTAAACGACTTTGGAAGATAACTTAATGGGCCAAATGAACCAAGATTTTATTTTCAGCAAGAAAACCCCCTTTCTACTTAATAATGTACCTCCTTTCTAATTGTAAGGAAAGCTTAATGGGCCATCAGATTTTGATGGTCCATTCTTTTGAAACACCACACCCCTCTATAAACGTAAACCCCATATCATATATATGAATACGTCAATAATAGATTATAAAAAAATGATGATATTGGAAATAAATAACAATAAGGAATAAAATTATTCTGAAATCAGTAGGGAAAATTTGAGGTATGACAATAACATAACAAAATCAATCGTTTAACCTCTAGTGTTACATATCACAACAGACATTGACACCGACGAAAGCAATAAAGAAGAGAATTATCTTCAAACTCATCCACACCTTCATTGCGGATCACATGCGTGTTACCCACGTGGAGGCAACATTCAAACAGAAAGGGTGAGATATCACAATAATCTAAAGGAATGCATAATAATAAGTAGACAACAGATTATTACATGCGTAGTCACTCAATTCACCATTCACACACAAACAAAAACACCAATTTACATATCATTTATGTAACAACATCATTCATACAACAACAACAACAATAACAATTATGCAATGTATTGAGACTCACACCAATGAATTAAATGTATGTGGTGCCAATTTTTGTGAACACGTAATTTCATTGCATCACCATAGGCACATAGCACACTAGAATGCACTCAATCAACACAAATGGATTAAGGCTCACCAACACGGACCACTGGCTAACCACCAATGATGCATGATACATGTTAACATGCAACAATAACAAGTACATTGTTTTTCACATATAACAATTATACCCCGCCATTTTGGCCACCAAACACCAAGCACCTGCTATCACATGCCTACAACAAGTTTTACCATGCAACGCACGACAAACAAATCGCACAATGCACAGTTCAAGCATTAGTTATATACCACAACATATAGTTATCACAATGTAAAGCAATTACATGCCATGAATCGCAATTTAAGAAACCCAAAATTATTTTTATAAGAAAGCACATTGTTTCAGTTTTCCATAGGTTCTAATGACGCGTCAAACAAACTACCGAAACTCAAGGTACAAATTTTTAAAGTTTTTATAAAATTCTGCCAGAATAGGTGGTAGTCGATTGCAACCAAAGTGGTAATCGATTACACACTCACAATTTGGTATATTTTCTCAATTTTTTGAAACGATAATCGATTACGCCCAGGGGGTGATCAATTACGCCTATTTCCCAGAACCTAGGTTTTCACAAAATTGTACTGCATAATCGATTACACCCATACTGGTATACGATTACACTTTTGTATTTTCCAAAAATATTTAAAGTCATCGTAGCTGTAATCGATTACGCCATACTCATAATTGATTACCACGACGACATAAGTAGTTTTCTGCTATGTCAGTGTACGAAATTTAGTCATTCTCCCACCCAAAAACTCCAATTTTCATGAAATATGGAGCAATTAGATTTTACAGGTTCAAATTCAACACACAAATTCACATCATTCCAACAACAACAATTCAATCGATTCACCCATAACACACCAACATTCATCCAATTAATTAAAACATAAAAAAGGGCAATCATAAACATAAGCAAACATGACAACCACAACAATTCATACCCCTAACCTACAGATCATTATACAATCCCTTAGAAAATTGGAATCCCCCTTATCTTGGTATTCCTAGCAAAACTCTTGGGCTCTACAATTGAGTTTTCCTCTTCTTCCTCAAACTCTAGCTCTGCTCTCTAATTTTTTCTCTTCTCTTTTCGTGTTCTATCAGTTCTAATCTCACTGACTCTAATTCCCTTATGTTATTATTATTATTATTATTATTATTATTATTATTATTATTATTATTATTATTCCAACTAAATAAAACCACTAAAATAAAAACTAAATAATTATTTATTTCTATTATTACTATTATTATTTAATCTATTAAATTCTAATTTAAGAATGCTAGTAATAATATTCTCTCACCACCCCTATGTTTCTACCTTTTTACTCAAACACTCCACAACACCTTTATTTCAAGTTCTAAAGGTCATCATCCTACACCGAATGGTCCCCAAACACACAAAAACACCGAATAACATGCAACATCACACAAATCAATTACGAATAATTAATTAAAATAAATCGTGGTGTTACAGTGGGCGCCACTTAACTGGTAAAAAGTATAGGTATGTGTATTCCTCTTGCAATATATGGAAGATTCAGAGGCTTTAGTAAGTTTATAACATGATATTGTGATAAGGGATTGCCCACGACGATGAGAAGTCTTGTACGATGATGATTTGAGGTAGTTTAGGAGTCACGATAACGTGAGTTGAAAGACTCTTCAAATGACTAGTGGCGCTTAGGAGCAAGTGTATGGTCACAACCAGATGTGTTTTGTGATCTTAATAAGATTTATGCTCTTTTAGAATGTAAAGAATGATATGTTTTTCCCCTTGGGAAAAAAGTATTTATATAGGCATTTGGACCTAGGGTTTAAGTATTTTTCCTCCTTCATTATCACCTCGTTCGAAAAAAGAAAGTCTGATTGGGTATAATAAGAGCTAACATCCTTGTCAAAGTGGATCATAGACCAATACTTCATATACGAAATTCAACAGTATCAAGGGAAGTCAATAGGGATATAACAAAAAAAAGAGTTGTAAAGGTGAGAGGGTTAATCAATACTAAATGTCCTAGAAAATTGCCCCAATCCAAAGTGAAGGGGTCGAATAAGAGATGAGTAACTGAAGGTGAAGGAACCTCTGATTACGAATGTTGTTCAGGGAAGTAATCATGAGACGAAAAAGATTGAAAAATAAGCTAAGAGAGGACTTCCGTGATTTGTATAACACACACAATTGGAAGACCATCACATATGCCCATGACCCCGAATGAAATTGGGAAGATGAAACCTTCAAATGTTTCAAGACGACTAGCTCAAATTTATAAAAGGGCAGTCATAGTCATATTCTTGTAAATAGACACTCATAAAATGAGACCATGCAGTCAATCAAAAGAGTTGCATACCCTATTCTCATATGGCACTGGAAGAACCAACCATTTTGTAGGATCATTGACCTCGATGTTAGTATCACTTAGAGACAAATAAAAGCTCACTACTTTTGCATCCACCCAATCATACATCGATACATCCTTGATATTCTGAAGATTCAAGTGTTCTAACACCTCGGCGATTCTAGGCTCACGACCCTCCGTTCGTAGACAAACCTGGAAGAATTCCCTAGCATGTTCCCTCATTTGCAATTTGGCTTGTACCTCCTGTTTAGAAAAGATAAGAAGGGGGCATAGGGACCTCAACATCACTTGTACCCCCCGCGAATATTCGATATAAGGGTGTCTAACGACCCAGAAGAAGAAGTTTCTTCCTCCAAGGAAGTCTCAAACATCACTTCCGACCCAAAATCGATGAATATGGATATAATTGAAGGTCTTATCTGATCGCTATTAAGAGAAGGGTGAGAAGAACCATGAGACGATCTGATTCACTCACCAAATCAACATTATTATCGATCATCTTGACTAAATGAAGGGAATGTTTATGGAAAAACTTGAGTTACAAGGGTACCTGATTATGAGAGATAGATGAAGCATGAGAAATAAAAAGGGAGAAAGCTTTAAACAAAGCTATGAATCACTTCTAGTGATATTCACAGGAAAAAGGAACAAAAACGTCTCTCTGTTGAAAAGTAACTGTAAGATTTAAAGCTAAAAGGTTGCAAAAAAATTTCAAATATTTAACTCGCTCTATTTATAAGCAACGACAACTGAAAGATCAAGGTCAACTATGAACAATAATCACAAGATCAGCGACTAGATTTCCACTCATGGATATACGCAACTCGAGTGTACTTAAGTACTCTATAAACTACGTCATACCCTAGCTGGTTACGCCACTGCATGTATTAGGAATGGGTAATGAAGCATTTCAATGATGGAACCACATTAAATGTGTCGGTTCTCCATTACTATTTCAAAACTGGTCTCAAGCGATTTGGTTCAATTCTTCATCAGATGATGACATGGAGGCCAACCAATGATATATTTAAGGCTTCCCTCGACTCCTTCAGTGCCCAACAAAGCCTTGTAGGCAACTTTTTTTGACCGGCCAAATGCCAAAATGGTCAAGGCTCAATCTATCTCAAATTCACTCTACTCGTCCTAATGTATAAAATAGATCACATGCGAAGAGCAATGTACAAAATTTCTAATCTTCAATTTCACTATACTCTTCACGAATCTTAAACTGAGTTGAATGTTGGAATGTTAACCATACAGATTCACCTTAATCCAGTATAAAGAAGACCAAAAACTTTTATTTTTAAATATTTCGTTGAATTAGAGTATTCATTTCTATTTCCTAAACGAAGCATAATAAAACAGGTATGTATATGACAAATTCAAGAAAAATGTCAAATTTAAAGGATGGGAGACTTAATTTTGCTTATATAGTGTTGAGTTTATCTATCGACCACAAATTTAACTGTGCATATGGAAGGATATTTTGCTAGTGATTATTTATTGGGGTAGTGATAGATGGACCCGTAATATATTGTGTACACTCGTTTGACATCCAATATAGATAGGCTTTTTATGACTAACCCCAAAAGTCTTCTAATAAACAAAGTTTATAAGAAAACTACTTTATCATAATTTAATGGCTTATTTATTGATATCAACCACCACAACAACTGACATCAAAGTACACACAATCAAACAGATTGTCCAAAGACACAAAATCCATTGTTTACCACTGTAAATCCTCCATCAACAACAAGATTGTGACCACTAACATACTTAGATTCATCACTTCCCAAGTACAGATTAGCTTCAGCCACGTCATTTGGCATAAGATTTGTTCCCTTTAGGTTAGAATAAACCCCTAGAATCCCATCATCATCTACCTTTAAGAATTTCTTAGCCATCGGAGTAAGAACAATATAAGGTGACACACAATTCACCCGAATACCGAAAGGTCCAAGCTCGACCGCCGTGTTTCTCGTCAGCCCCACCACACCGTGCTTTGAACTTGTGTAAGCATGAGTCGTCGTACCAGCTATGTTTCCAGCAACACTAGCTGTGTTAATTATGCTACCTCGTCGAGCAGGGATCATTACTCTTGAAGCGTGTTTTGTTCCGAGAAAAACACCAACCAAGTTAACGTTAATCACTTGTTGAAATTCAGATAAAGTGTTTTCAAGTATGTTGGTATTGTTTACACCGGCTATGCCTGCGTTGTTTAACATGATGTCGAGTTTACCGTACTTGGAAACCGTGGTGTTCACGGCAGTTTCGATGTCTTTTTCATTTGTGACGTCGCAGTGAACATAGGAAGCTGATGATTTATGTAACTCTTGGCAAATTGAGTGACCTCTGTCGTCTTGGATGTCAGCTATAACGACTTTAGCGCCATGGTTGGAGAAGAGTCTTGCCGTGGCTTCGCCGATGCCTTCCGCACCACCGGTGATCAGAGCCACCTTGCCCTCAAGCCTTATAAATGAATTGAGCATGACAAAATATATAACAAAAGTATTATCATTTATATTTAGGTGTGTATGCAAATAAAACGAGGTGAAGTTGCAACTTGTTTACCTTCTTAGAACAGCTGATGCCAGAGGAACGGTTGCCATGGGAGAGGTTTTCACGTTTCTGTATAGATGAAGAGAAGATAAGTTGGTTGGATCTTACAATCAGAGTCCTTCACTTCATCTAACTTGTCTCATTGTGCAATATGAAAGCTTTATATTCCTAATATAGTAAGGTAAAGGTACACGTTATTATTTAGGGAAAAGTTACACTAGTCTCTAAGTTTAAAATATATGCACTCATCTTGAAGTATACACCAATGAAATTTTAGTGAGAGACAATACCTGCGGCTATCACTAAAAATTAAAGAGGATGTTTGTGTTATTAATATAAATATCAGAAGGTTAATATATAATTTAAAACTATAAAGGTGTGAGTATTGTTTTTTATAAGTAAGAAATTGTATTAAAAGAGAGTACAAGCGGATTACTCAATCCAATATAAAAAAATTGAATTTAACCAGAGCAATTATGAGATTGGATATCTAATCATCTTTATATAGAGAAAACCGACTAAAAGATTTAGTACTAATTCAATCTCAAGCTAAATTTTTCTCCACAAAAACAATCTCTCGACTTTCTTTCAATCCACTATTGAACAAAATGTTATTCCTAATTAAATAGATAGTCTGCACGACATATAACTAAATAAGAATTCTACAATTTTTTCTTGTCCTCTTCGACATAATAAAGACAAACAACAAGAGATGATCAGAAATATTAGAAGAAAAAAAGTCATTCACCCCTACCCAATCTATAATAGATAACCAAACCTCAGCAGGAACATGACAGACAATGAAAAAATGATGGTGAGTCTCATCCGAACGAAGACATAACAAACAAACCAAGTTATGAACGTCTGAAGTGACTCATCTTTTAGTAAGTCCATCCCTTGTTTGTAATCTATGATGAAGCGGCCTCCACACGAATACTTGAATATTAGACAACACATTTGATTTCCATACATACTTCAAAGAAGATAACAAACCTGTATTGAAAATCAAATTATGATCTCCTCACGCGCGTAACCTATCAAAGGCGTATTTCACTGAAATGCCTGATGTTGTTGTAGTACGGTGGGAGAACTGACTTTACTGGTTTTTGCGTTTTATGCAATATTGCGGTTAGCAAGAGTCGCCACCGACTTTTCTTTTATCCAACAAAGGAAAGGGTGAAAAGAACAGGAAAGACTTTTTTTAAAGATTTTGAGTTCGGAGGATAGGTTATGGAAAGGGAAGGTGTTAGCATCCTTTCCATCTGTAGTTATCTACGGGCACTTAGTTGTTAGGTCACTTTGAAAATACTTTTTGGTGTAAGTGCATTTGAAAATATTTTTGAAAAGACGCCTTAGTGCGGCAAACTTTGCAATGATTCTCGTATCGTTTGAGAACGTATACAAAGTATTTTTGTCTTGGAAAATATTTTAGAGAAAGAGTTTGTGTATGTGTAAAAAATTGTTTTATTTGTTTTTGTGAGCAAGCAACTATAAGCGGTCTACCTACTCGAAAGATCTTTGTTCTTTTCCTCTTTTCCTTTAGATAGTGCTATCCTACTATTAGTCAGTAGGTAGCCCTATCGTTGGATGTTTTGAGGGACAAACAAGGATCATCGTACAGTCACGAAGGCAACTCGTAAGATACTTTAGAAATTACCCTAAGGTTTTAAGATCATTTACCGAGGCAACGTCGAAATGATCATCGAGGGACTTATGATCTTATAACCAAAGGGTCACTGCTAAAATCTCCTATGTTTGAGAGACGTGATTGTTTTATTCTGAAAGTAACAAGTGGAGGTACCTTAGAGGTGCGCGTGTGCGAGTGTGTTGTGTTTCAATTATTTATCCTTAAACATTTAGGTTTTCTACCGTTTGTTTTTAGATCTTATCATGCAATCCTATTAAGCATACATCTAGCAGTTAAATATTTATAAGTACATAAAATAAAAGTGCGAGAATTTAAGCTACACTATTACAATGCTTTGGGACGGGGGATTACAAACCAAAAACGTGGAAATAAGGAAGTAAATGGTCCTAATTAAACTATTACATCTCATGTGCAATTATATTATATTTTTGAAAATAAACGCGAGCAAAATAAATAAACGCACGGAGAAGATAAAGTCCTAGAAATTTCTAAGTGATAAAAAGAAATATTTTTTTGTTGTTTTTGTATTAGGAAAAATAATAATTAAATTAATGGAAACTTAATTCTAATTAGTTTAATTAATTAAGAAAAGGATGATTAAATAATTAATTAAAATTTACAATAATTAAATTAATTAAAAAAAACCTAAGTCTAATATTTTTTGTGATTTTCTGATTTTTATTGATTAAAGGAAACTGATTTAAAAAAATATTGATTAAGCAAAATAAATAATACTAAAAAAATGTAAATGGGCCTCGCTGCAAAAAGGGGTTAGAGGGGTGCAAAAAAAAGGAATTCTTAGACCCATAACTAATGAGCCCAGGAGGCTGCGTTGGCTCGGATGAGAGAGGCTCCTTGAAGATGCACGGTGGGGTGTGCGCTTGAGGCATTCAGATCATGCTTGATGAGATCTGATGGTCAGGAATTTGAGGTGTATGATGCGCGTACCGATCTGCTTAGCATTGGATCTGAAAAGATAAAAACAAGAAAAACACAAAACGCCTTGTACCTGGATCGAACCCGTTAGATTTACTCAAAACATCAATAGCAATATGAATGCATGCATAAAACCGATTTAAATCACATATTCAGAGAGTTTGTAAATCTAAATTTTACCAAGGCCGTAGGAGAGTTATGAGGAGGATCTGGGACATGTGAGGCTTGAACCTTGGCTCTAGAGGACTCCTGGAAAACTCGTGGGTGATGTTTGATCATTGGTTTAGACTGGTATGGACTGGAAAGTGAAACACGATTTTCACCAACTTTTTAATTTTTTAGAGAATTTTGAGAAGGCTTTTGTGTGCAAGAATTTCATGTTCCTTTGTGATCTTAATCTTGTGTATTTATAGAGAGGGAAGAGAGGAGTGAACATGTATGGCAAGGAACAAAGCATTCATGGCCTTTGAGACAAGAATAAAACACATTAAGAAGTTGCCATTTTTGAGTGATTCTCGCCCTTTTTGAATGTGCAATGAACCTGGACCATTCGTGCGTGTCTTGTACGAATTAATGGGCTTCAAAATTGATCAAATCCATCCCATATACATAGCCCATGATTTTTGTGATTTTATTTAATTTATTTTGCATTTATTTGAATAAAAACAAAATAAATATAAATAAAATAATAAGAAAATACAAGAAAAGGTAAGAGTGTGTTTAAGAGTCTTTTGCAAGGTCATGGACATTTTTGAAGTCCAAAAAGTTAGGTCACAAGTTCAAAATTTCAAGTTTGTACATTTAGCATTTCATGTATTTCTTAAAAATTGTCCAACTTGTGCAACTCATAACTTGCTCAATTTTCATATTTTGAAGATGATCTAGGACTTTTTAGAAATCCCAAGATGTTCTCTACAATCTCTATATTGATAATGTTTGCTTTTGAAGACTTTATCTTGATGTAAGATGCCTTGACAAAAAGTGTCTTTTATTGACTTTTGAAAATTATCTATAATGTATTAGGTCATATCTTTCAAATGAAGTATTTTTAGGACTTGAGAATAAATAAAAAAAGTTGTAGATAATTGATTATTCTTAAAAATGGGATTTGGTTAAGGAAAATTTGATGAAGCATGTGAAAGTTATGTCTGGTCAAGTTCAGTTGACTTCTCCTAAGAAAATTCTAATTTGACAATTTTTGACTTTTGATGATCTGAGGACTTTCCTTAAAGAGTCATGATCAACCCTTGATCAAATGATGAATATCAGTTCAAAATATTCATGACTTATCCTATTAATATGACTAAAACAAACTATATATATATATATATATATATATATATATATATATATATATATATATATATATATATATATATATATATATATATATATATATATATATATATATATATATATATATATATATATATATATATATATATATATATATATATATATATATATATATATATATATATATATATATATATATATAAACACGTTATTCAACTGTAAGTTGATTAAGTCTTTTTCTAAGGCATAGAGAAATCTCCTTCAAGGGACTGGGTATGTCAGAAGCCTTAAGGAGTTAGTGATCGTTATATATCTTAGGTGACCGGGTAGGTCAGAATTCTTAAGGGATCACTGGTATGTTATTATTGTTGTTGTTAGTCACCGGCGGGTAACCCATGCATCTGTAATCTTTCAAGATTAATGGATTAAGTCCTTTTCTAAGGCGAAATCACCTTGGTTGGTGGACATGATTAGCCATTCCTAAGGTGAACCTGTATAAATCGAAAGTGTCATTATTTCTCTCTCTATAACATTGATTATAATTCTGATTGTTTGTGTAAAGCACTTCTAAACGAAAAAGTTTTTGAAAATCCAATTCAAACCTTCCTTTCTTGTGTTTTTCCCAACCTACATACGGTTGTTTAAATGGTCGTAATATGGTATTACCAAGTATATATTTTGTAGTCCCGTTAAGTCAGCTCAGTTGGTAACTTTGCACAAATATATATATATTTATATATATATATATATATATATATATATATATATATATATATATATATATATATATATATATATATATATATATATATATATATATATATATATATATATATATATATATATATATATATATATATATATATATATATATATATATATATATATATATATATCGGCATATGTTTTATTTTTTTATAAATCGGCATATTCTAGGTGCGCAACTACATTGACTAATGTTTCATGCTGGATAAGACCATACACTAGCACAAAAAGGTTATTTACATTCGTTTTTTATTAAATTTACACCCATTAAATTTTATAAAAATTGAGTGTATATTCATCGGATGAGAAATATCTAATGCATTTACACTCGTTTAAAAAATGGGTGTAAATACATTCAACGTTACACCCTTTTTAAATAAAAATCAGATGTAAATAGGTTCTACG